TTACAAAAAACAAGAACAACAATTACAGCTAATACTAAGCAACCCCCAGTCACCCGTAGTCTTCCAAGAGAAAAGGCCTTCCACTTCAGCTGGTCGCGGATGTCCCGGGGATCTACCGGCCAACATGCGAGACCGTCGGGCCTCCGCTTGCTTTTGGGGGGTTTAGGGTAGATCGAATCCCTGGAAACCCTAAATCCTTTCTCCCACTGGGCTCAAGTCTAGCCACAAACCTTAAACCCTAACGCGTAAACCCCTTTAACCTGGGAACATGTGGATGGTTCTCTATTTCAACTCCCAAAAATACTACGGCACCCTTCCAAACAGATTCTTAAAAGGGACCCTGCTTTAGAGAACTACCACCCTTGGTTTTGGACAGGATGTGGGAGCTTAGGGTTTGCGAAAAACCCTAGATAACCTACCTCTGTGGTGTTCCTGATGGTTTCCTCATATAGGTCTGTCGACCCGGCGAATGTCTGATACATGCTCAGAACAAAGTTCCGCACTTATATTGTAGGCCCGACAAAATTTTTTCCGAAAAAATCTAGGAAAGCAATCAACTTGAGCCGAAACCCTATAAATAATCCCACAAGCTTCTGAGGGTTTAGGAAGCACCATGCATGCAGCTGAAGCAAGGCTAGCTCTAGGCTCTAAGCCCTACCTGAACCCACACACAAAGCCAGGGCATGTGCCGGGTCCTTATCGGTTTAGGTTTAAGGTTTATAGGGTTTAGGGTAGGGTTCAGGAAGGTTTGCGAAAGCCAGGTCTAAACTGATTGGAACCATATGGACGAGGATTCTTTGCTTCGAGCGGTGCGGTGAAAGGCTGTAATTGGACGATGGGACTTGGGGTCAAGAAAACTCAAAGTCTGACTGTGACCAGAACCTACGCAAACTGTCTGTGTAAACCGGGCATGTGAGAGGGGGGCGGAGGGGGTTGGCCGCCCCGGAACTGTGCGAGCGAAGTGACGGGGAGCAAACAGCTTCCCGCAAGTCCTGGCCGCGCTGGGATGCGGGCTGCCGGCCACAGTTCAGTACTGTGAGGTTACGGTTAAGGGTCATGATTGAGGTTATGCCTACGGGCTGGAGTCTGACCCATCTTGATTACGGGTCGGGTTCGGCAACAAGCCAAGCAATAAACAACAAGCTTCTATGAAAACGGAGGGAGGAAAGGAGTGAGAGAGAGAGAGAGAGCTAGAGCCAGCAACAAACAAGCATACAGGCATATGAAAGTACACCCATGCATTTTATGAATATACATACACAAACATATATATATATATACATACATGCATGCATACATACATAATACATACAATGAACACTTCATTTTACAGTACCTTACACATTGCGTACGCAGTTCGGAAACAAGTTCCATCGCTCACATCTTGCAGGAAGGTAAGAGGCCTCGACGTTTTGTGCGTTCTTTGATACTGTCCGCCGCAGAAAAAAACTCGCCCAGTCAGCATACATTCATGTCCAAAAGCTCATGTGATTTTTGGAGGCGCGGAGGACATTCCCTAACCCACCCCACACACACACAACAAAGTGATCGTGTTCACACTAGCTTCTCGAGCGACCGTAGTACATGCTGTGACCTTGCTGCTCCTTTGGACCGGTCTTCTGTGCAGGGCACCACTCGACCGAAACAGCCTCAACTCTGACACGGCTTTGGGTTCAGGGTCTAAGGTGACCGTCAAACAATTCAAGGCCAAAGCACTGAAGTGAACGGTTCACCTAATGTAGAAGCCTGACTAATTAGAAGAGGTACATTCTGCTATAACTATAATACGGAAGGCCCAAAATAGTCTTGGTAATTATTAAGGCTCCTACAGTAGCTATACCGGAAGTGTGAGCCCCACGCTGCATAATATACCCCTCCCCCCTCCCTTACAGGTCTGGAGTCACAGGGTACCGGGCTTCGGGGCTCGGAAGCCCTAAGCCCTAAGCCCCAAAGCCTAAACCGGATGTGTTCAGGGCGTAGGGCTCTCAGGGTAAAGCCAACAACAATAGACCTGGCCCTTGGTTTTAACTAGTGGGGAGTGCTGTGCTCCAACTAATTCCTTCGAGTAGGGAACCCCAAGGAATAGCATAACTAATCACTGAGGACTCAGACCCTCATGGTTGGCTATATATCGCTTCATTGCTCACTTTAGCATCCAGCGACCTGGCACTCAACGTTGGTCCGCGAATCGGGCAAGACAAACAGTCCTGCATCCACCGGGACAGCAGCAAAGCCAAGAATGCCTCTCTGTGGAGCTTCGTTGTCCTGCAGCAATGGCTCAGAATTTATGCCGCCACACACGCGAGTGGCCTGCTATGTCAATCGAACGAGAATCACATCGCAAGCAGTCATGCAAGGTATGATTCGATGCTCCAGGAGCATGTGCTTGTGAATCCCAACATGCGGGGTTGTTTGAATTTCGGATCTTTTCACAGACTTTAGAAGTACCTGCATCTAGCGTGGTACCGTCATGCAGGGCGCTTCAGGTTTTCCAGGTCCCTCATTACAAGGTTCGCAAGAAGAAGCACAAGCTCTAGGACTCTAGGATGAACCATCATAGACTTGGTCCCGAACCGCAAGCCACTGCGAGCTGCCAGCGCTGGTGTATGCTGAACCTCAACATGAACCTGAAGCCGCGAAACCGAAAATTATACACTCCACAGCCTGAACATGAACAGCAAAACAACAGCCTTGCACAATCCTGAGCTTGAAACTCGAAACCTGAATCCCTAAGCCAGAAAAACTACACCCTCAACATCAGTTGACGGCCGTAAACCCTAAACGAATCCTTCAAGTCATCATAGCGGTCTGGGGTACACTACACCATCAGATAATGGAGTCGTTAAGGTATTCCTAGCTCTTCAAACCCTCCTCTTACACCACAGAGCTGCAGCATCTGCGGCGGTCCAAACCAAAGTGACGAAGCTGCGGGCGGTAGAAGATGCCCGAAAGCGCCTCGTCGCACAGTTTAGGTTTTACCTACCCATAGACTCCTTACTAGTTCATTGTTGTGGTTGGTATTTAAGATCCTATAAGGTAATCCCAAAACGGAACTACGAAGGAGCCTATGGGTAGAGAACCGAAAACCCGGAACATTGTCGGGTCTGTCTGGAAGCCCCGACATCCAACAAATCATACCCACGTATAAACTGTACTAAGGTCTGGTGAGGGACTGTATTTTTTCAATCAGACGCTATCCCCATAACCCGCATTAACCTGGCTTACCTGAACCCTGCATCTTCTAAACAAGGCCTTAAAACCACATTGGCAAAACAACTCTCTAATCCGTAGACTCTAAACTCTAAATCCCTGTACAAGTTTTAAGCTCCATTCCATTCCTCCGCCGTCTCCCTTGAAGATGCCTCGGGCAGTGGGGTGCAAGCAGGCCGCCGGCACGATGAGTCACACGAAGGCAGTGCCTCGATGTCCATGTCTCTTAATGTCAAGGCTCTGTGGGCTTTGCAGCTTGGTTAGACTGTAGCTCGGTTTGGCTTCGGCTTTTCGTTTCCATCGCTTTGAGTGTTTAGGGTTTGATAAGGCTTACACCCTCGGTTTCGGGGCCCAAGCTCGGACATGCGAGACGAGTTTCTTGGTGGCGGTCGAAGGTGCAACCTATGTCTGAGGCAGATCGGATTCAGGGCTTAGGGAAACCTTGGGAGACCCTGGCATGCATGAGACATACGGTTGATGACATAAATCCTGCATTACCCATAATAAGGAATACACCACAATTCACATAGTTTAAGGTTCTTAAGATAATGCAGGATTTATATCATCAACAGCATTCCTTGACCAAGCTGTGTTGAGAGAGCAGCTATCCGACACCCCACCCAAGAGCTTATCGTTGGGTGCTTTTCGGGTTCCTTCTGATTGTCTTGACCTCCACATGCATACACACACATACATACATACATATATATATATACATATGTATATATATATATGTATATGTATATATGTACATACATACTCATGCACACCAAACAAGCAAGCATGCATGCATGCATGCATGCATACGTACATACGTACGTACATACATACATACATGCATACATACATACATACGTAAATACGTACATATGTACATACATACAGACAGGCAGACAGACCGACATGTCTACATATGTATGTATGTATGTATGTATGTATGTTTATATATATATATATACATATTTGTCCTAAATGTTTCGGTCTTGAGTCTTGTGGGGTGGCAAGTTTGTTGTTGTTTTTTCTCCGTGGGCTCCTGGATAGCCGCGGCGTGTGTCTCGACTTCCCCATCGAACAGCACGACAGGCCCAGAACTGATCATCAGGACTTCGATGCGCACCATATTTTGTTCAGGGCTTCAGCGTTAAGTTTAGGCTTTAGGGGACTTCATTAAAGGAGTTAGGATTCGGGGGACCCTTGGGGGTATAGACCCTTTGAATAAGGTCATTTTTAAGAGAGCCATCAGTAGGGTCAAGGAGGGTCCCTTTAAGGGGTCTCCCCTAAAACTACCTAGGATTCACATTGTTGTATGTTAGCATCGTCTAGTCCTGAGCCTCTTTTACGAAATCAGCCCTCGGCCTTTGCAGGACTGAGGCTGCTGAGAGCTTCAAGGCTGCAAAAACCAAGTCCTCGGACCCCTCCATCAGCAAACAACAGTGCTTGCTCGGCCTGACACCCTGACAATTGCATATCTAAATTTTCTATGGCTTGGCCGTGGGATTGAGCCTTTGGATGGGGCGGAGGGTAAGACAGGACAGCTGAGTATTCACAAAACAGCATGATTCGGCAGTAACTGGATGCACAGAAGCTGTTGATTGCTCTCATCAACTCTCATCTGTCTGCCATTGTGCGAAAGTTGCTGTACATCCAATTAATAGGTTTCTGACTGACTAGGCACGTGGCCTGGACGAGTCTTGCAAACCACACCAGAACTACCCCAAACCACAATCGCTATCCTTTGAGATAGCAAGCTGCCACACCTAGCCGTTATGCTTAGAATCTTAGATGCGTAATTAGAGCCCCTCATAGTCGTCATGTGCTTCACGGACTTGCTTCGGCGGTGCCTTGGAAATCACGTCCGGCATGTGGATGGAATTCAAGAAGGGCAACTCCTCTCCACGTGGAAGGAGCAAGTCCTTCTCCATCGGTGCGGCGCGCTGCACTTTCCGGAGGGAGACCTGGGTAGTTCTCTAAATTAGGGTCCCCTTCTCGGTCCCCCAAAATGTTACGGCACGCTCATTAAAAAGGACCCTAAAAGGTGCCTTTATTTAGAGAACTATACCCACCTGCTTCCAGTTGCACCCATTGCAGCTGCGGCAGTAAGAAGGCAGCTGGCGGTCCAGAACAGCCTCACTGTGGCGACAGCTGCCGCACTCCCAGCGAGTCTTTGTCGCTTCTTTCTCCGTGACCTTGTGGCCCTTCTCCTGGCAAGTCTAGGGCTTCACAGCTTTAGGGATCAGGGTAGCCCTTGTCCTTGCAACTCTGGGGTTAGGGGCCAGTTTGGGGGGTTCAGGGTTCTGCATCCCTTGTCCTGGCAACTCTTCAGCTGGTCGAACGACTCGAAAGTGGAGAAGCAATTCGCACACCTCCAGGCACGGACCTTCATGCTCTTGATCTCTTCCATCACCTCCTGCGCTGCATCCATGGCCTCGAGCTCATGAAAACGTCTCATTCGTTTTGCAGCTCGCTCTTCTTCCATGGCACTCTGAAAACGCGACGACTGTTGCCGAACGACGTCGAGACGAGGATCTGCCTTGAACGCCAGCTGCCGGGCGACCTTGCGTCCAAAGTCGCTCTCCAGCTGGCGGATGCTTACAGCTGGCGGAGGAGGAGCTGTCGCCTGCGCTGCAGGGGCGGAGATGGTGCATGTTTTGCCCGAGTACTCGCGGTTGTCCTTCGAAACCCCCTTGCTCTGCGCAAGATTCTGTGGCGGGGAAGGCGTCGGTGGAGCACTGGGCACTCCGGCTCCACCTACTTCACGCCTTCGGAGTGCTTCGAAGCTGGCCCTCTCAAACTGCATGCGTGATTCCATCGGTCGGTTGGGGTCCGGCGCAGGAATGCCATCCGGAAAGAGTGCGAGGATCTGTCGCGCTGCGATCGCTGCATCGGGCGCCGCACCATCTGCCTGCTCCAGCTCACGTGGTGCTGCACGTTGGCTGGGCGCTGATGTCCACGAGTCGCCCTTCGGTGCAGCTGCTTGCGTGCCAGATGCCATGGTGGGAGACTGCTGCCTCTTGGCTGGCATCGGCTGTGTGCCAGGTGGCGTGGGAGCTGCTCCCGCAGCTGCGCTCGTCTTACGGGCAGGAGTTGCAGGTAAACGACCACTGAGCAGCCTTTCAAGCGCGGGATCCTTTGCGACTCGATCTCCCGGTCGCGGTCTCGGAGGGGCGCGCAGAGCAGGGCCCTCCTTAACGATGAGGCCGGCAGTTGTAGCATCCTTGCCTAGGTTGGCCCCTCAAAGCCTCTGAAACAAATTCGTACTACCTAAATAAAAAGTATTCTCTGAAGCCCAAGAAGGGAAAATATAAAATGTCCCAAAACTCTACCTAGTTACCACGTGAAGCAGTCGTGTTTTTGGTACTCCACTTGCGAACTTTGTCCGCCTCCTGCTGCATGGTGTGGTAGAAGCACACCAAGGCTCCACCTCCGCGATCGATGTCGCAGGGCATTGAGCAGGGCAGCCCATCCTTCTTCCGGCATCTGCAGAATCCGAGAGACGGGCAGGTACCGAGAAGAACCAGTTGAGTGGAGTGGGTAATCTTGGCGCTAACCAGCGTCTCGCTGCCAGTCCCCGACTTGGAGGATGGCAGAGGTGCCGGATTCAGGATTGCAAAGACTGCGCCGTACCTCACCGACTTTCCTAAGTCCAGGTCCCAAGTCTCGAAGGCCTCGCCCATTAGCAGCAACTTCAAAAGCCTTGCTTGCCGAGTATCATGGTGAACTAAAGGTTAACCTATTCGGGATTATATAGGGACTACAATGCCCCAAGAAGGTTAAAGGTTACCTGCTCTACGGCTAAGGAGCCGTGGCTGCGGGAAGCATAAGTCGGTCAGCGACCAATGCGAGAAGCGACCACCATTTGCCGAGGTCTTGGCCAGACCGCGCTCATACAAGACGCCGATGGCCACAATGCTGGCAGACTCGCTGGCAACAGTGAGTGAGCTGAAGCTGGTGAACTTTTTGCCGGCCATGAGCTCATCCCAGCGTTTGGCTGCAATTTTTCTGTCCGCGAGCCGCAACCCGGAATACTTCTCCGTCTCTGCTGCCATGGCTCAACAGGCAGGCAATCTCGGAAAGGAGCCTGCTGCTTACAAATGTCTTGTTGCCTACTGGTTTATAGGGGCCGCTGAGGGTTTCTTGTTTGCAGACTGATCAACGCTTTGGGCACTCATAAGGTCGTCGTTCTCAGACCCTTTTGCAGCCAAAGTTGATCGCAGGGGACCGAATTCTCTTCACCTGCAGGCATGCTTTTGCAAGAGACTATTCATAAAGCCTACTTGGGGCCTCCATTTTTGAAGCTGCTTGCGACTTAGAGCTGCCAGCCGTCTTTGCCGATTTCTCTGAGTCTTCCAGGACTTTCGAGGTCCGCCGCCATACCGCAAGCAACCACGGTCAAGTTCAAACCCTGGACCATCTCAAACCCTGGACCCCTGCCGAACTTTCCAGTCGGGCTGCTGTCGCTGCCAGCCACTGGGACAAGTGCCAGCCTATAGTAAAACACAAGCGCCACGCTGTGCTCACAGTAAAGCAACTTGGCAGCAATTCTTCTTCCCTGGAGGATAGACCCTCCATATTTCTGCGGAAGAAACCAATGAATCGGACATGTCTCCGCATCAACAGATGGGCGGCCATGAAATTAATGTAGACATACGCTGACAGCAAGAAGATGTGGCCTATTGGCCTGCTGTCCACAAACCCTGAGAACTGTAAAGTTTTAGAGCCCTCAAAGACAGGAAAAGGATAATAACTAACGATAGTACTACGAGATTTACAAAGTCCTCGAACATCCATTTAACTTGCCCGAATAGAACAACATCAATGCCCCCCTCACAAATGTATCTTTTACCTTTAACCCGTTCTACAGCCGGGAGACGATGGCACGATCCATGAGCACGAGATCACCATGGTCAAGGCAAAGGTCCTGCTCCTAAACCCTACCTGGACCCTAAAGAACCTGTTTCGGGGGTTCTCCTTACGTAAGTTTTTAAAATAATAGGGTATTTTGGGTCAAGGTAAAACCTCTAACGCCCAAAAGTCCTGAACCCGGCGCACTTTGAGCGCTCTGCCAGGTTCTGCTCTCTTTTGGGACTTGCAGGGGATTTAGCCGGGCTTTATCCAAAGCATTTCTATGGTTCTATGAAGGAACTAAACGGCTTTTCCACGGGATTTGTCGATCTTGATAGGGAATTGGGAGTTTCCCTATGATGGTTTTATAGGGCTGAAAGGGTGGTCCTACAATTGGGTATCCCTGGCTCTGAGTGGAGGCCCGTTGGTTTTAGGATCCTTGCAAGCAATTGCAAAGGTGATCGATATAAGCTGTCATAGCTGTCTTTATGGAGATACTCCAGTGTGCATGCACTATGCTGCTTCCTAAGACCACTGTAGTCCTGACATGGCCCTGCAACACCCATGGAAAAAAGACCTTGCTTGTAGCCTGTTCGGCCTAAGACCCCTCAGGCTCAAGCCTTGTCAACCTTCACCCAACTCCTTCACAGAAAACCCTAAACCCTAAACCCTGGACCCTGGACCCTAAACCCCTAAACCCTGAAAGCCCGACCGGGTCCAGACGTCCACCAGGGCCTCCGGCACTTTCGAAGAAGAATTGGAGGAAGCCAGGTCCTCCTCAGCTTATAAGCGGCTTCTGCATGGGTTTCTAAATGTAGGCGCCTTATAATAATTGGAATAGGGTTCTGTGCTCTTTGATAGTAGAATTATAAGAAGGAGCCCTAAGGAATGATATTGGGCTTTTGGGCTTCTCTATTACTTCGGCTGCAAACAAGACGCTCTCTAGACGAGGTTGCCACAATGAAGCCTAGTGGGGACGCCAGCCAGGTTTTGTGTGTTCAGGAGGTTCGCATCTTTCTGAGCTGGGGCCCGTGGGGCTGGCCAGGGCTAAGGCTTGAGAGCCTTAGTTGCAGAGTTCAGAATTCCAAGAAGGTGCGCACGTTTCTGTTCTATGGGGAGTAGCATAGCCCCCAACAAGTGCAACATGTAGTCATTCAGCCACCAAGGAGTTTAGGCATTCAGGGTTTAGGGCTCTAGGGTTTTTTGTCACCCTTATCGCTGAAAGCGTTGAAAAATGATGTTTCACTGTTGACAGCCAGTTACCTAAATCATGGGTTAATGGATTATATGTTTTACGGGGTTTAGGGTTTAGTTTAGGGCTTAGGGTTTCGGCTACTAAGGTAACTGGAGCCCCTAGGCAAGGCAAAGTCGTAGCGGCACTCATGCTGAACGGAGCGGGCACAGGAAACTCATGTTTGGGGATTAAGTTGCTTGCTTTCATCAAGAGGTCAAGCTCTGTATGTCCGGAGTTCATGGTGTCCTTCACTGCAGTGGAGATTAGCGACTTAAGACATTTATATATTGTGGTTTACAGTGTCTCTGCTTGAACATGTGCAATGGCTGTACAGGGATTACTTGGGGTTCGCGTTGGTGGGTCAAGACATACATACACACATACATACGTACATACATACATACATACATACATACATACAGGCATACCTATAGCCTATAGCTACCTAGCCACCTAGCTACCTGACCTAGCTCCCTCGCTAGCTACTGAGCTACCAAGCTACCGAGCTACCTAGCTACCCAGCTACCTACTGCCTACCTACCTACCTACCTACCTACCTACGTACATACATACATACATACATACATACATACGTACATGTAGTTATACATGGTGCGTGTGTGTTTGTGTGTGTGTGTAAGGTGGTCAGTTGTGTATAGGTATAATATGCGTACTCGGATTTCGAACTTGCCTACGGGGAGATAGAGTGACAGAGAGAAAACAACAGAGAGGGACGCTTCGCGTGCAATGTGAGACAACAGCGCAAGGGGCAGCAGCGCGGACATCTCTTTCAACCCGAACTGCGATTTGTGCTTGCTGCCTCGTAGGCTGCATAGCGCCCGAGACTCCTAAAGCTGAAATACCTCAACCCTCCAAACCAAGACCTTGTCCCAATGGGTGGAACCCCAAACCCCATGTCCTGAACCTTAATTGGTAGCTACAGAACCGTACTGTGGGAGAGTCATAGAATTCTTAAAGTACCCTCCCCAAGCTTACCCTAAACGTCTAAGAGCCCAACGCCTTAAACTATATAAAGCCCTGATTATATAGAACCTTGGCAGAATCCGTTTACAAATCTTTACATGAAACCTAAAAGCGTCAAGCCGTCAAACCCCAGCGTTCCCGAGGCCGTGGCCCAGCCGAAGGAGCAGCCGGCTTTGTCCGACGACGGTCTGCTGTCGTTAGGGATCTGAAGGGTTTGTTCGGGCTGCTGGGGGCGCGGAGAGTGCTATAGAGGGAACCAAAGTCGTACGTGCCGTGACAACGATGGTTTCGACAGCGCCGAATCCATTAGGTACGCCGAAGGTAAGTTCAGTTCCTCAACAAGAGCCCAAGTGACGCATGGACTTTGGGCTTCGGGCTTGGGATTTTGGGGGTTCTGGAATTATGGGACCAATTTGGGATTTAGGCACCAAGTGTTCGGCATCAAGACTGTACCCATACCAGTGTGTCCAGGTTTGGAAAACACAAAGCATACAGGGTTGAGGCCGGGATGAGGGTTCTGGTGTCTATAGGGGGCTAGGTTTGATTGTAGCGTTGAGGATCCAGGGCTTTGCAGGATAGGGCTTAGGGTTTTGAGTCATAGGGGACATTCATTGTATGGGGATTTATGTTGACGCGCTAGGTCAGCCTTACACGGACGAATCTGGAGCGCGAGAGTCTCTGAAGAAGAGTAGCCCTGAAGCATCGCCCTGAGCCGAAGACAATCTTTTCCAGCTCCCAAAGCGACTATTGCACCCCTCCGAAACGAATGACCCTTGAAGAATTATACAGTTGCTGTGGGTTTAGGGTTTAGGGTTCAGGGTTAGCTGTATATAAGAAGACGATGCGGAAGTGCAATCACAATCTGGCCTCACCCGTATCTATGCAGGTTCCATCGAAGCCATCGCTGTGCCGTGACGTCTCACGGGAAGCCTTTGTTCTGCTTCGGGTTGAGGCTTTCTGGAGATACGAAGTTTCTGACCTTCTGAGACCCAGTGGGTTGCCATGCTACAGTACTGCACAAAGCAACCGAGTGCACATGTAAACGCTGCCAAACGACGGCGAGCATGATGGGAGGGAGTGACAAGCCGCCAAAACAACCCATAAGGGACTAGTGAAATGCGAGGCGTGGGGTAATGGGGCCTGGACACCGCCTGCTCTTCGGAGCGAGTTCTTGAGTGCCTACGGGCCTTGCCCCCGAAACAGCTAAGTTGAGAAACCAAACAAGCTGCAAAAAGGAACTGCCGAAACGACGGAACGACACGGCATATAGGTTTCCGCCCATCTACCAGAACAGGGAGGTCTCCCCAGGGCACCAGTAGATGCTTTCTGTTGCTTTTGGGAGCTTTAAGAAACTACGAAGCTACGAGGTGATTGAAACGAATGGCCGGTGAATCCCCGAGCCCCACAGACCGCAGATCCTGACGGTTTGGGGTTTAGGGTTTAGGGAATCTGCAATTCCGGAGCCTAACACCTACTAGCGGATTCAAAGGTTAATCTTTGGGACTGTATAGGGGATTACAATACCCCAAAGAAGTTAAAGGTTAGCAACTCTACTAGTACGAACGCGGCCTGACACATTCTAACCAGACACGGCTAAGAGGACACGGCGAGTTTGCAGACATGCTCCTTGTCGGGGTCTGCTCTCAACCTGAACCCGAAACCCTAAACCCTAAACCTACAGTAGCCCCGGGCCCTACATCCTGTAAACCCTGCATCCGGTACCAAGCGATGTCCATACTTTGGGAAATAAAGCCATATGCCAACTCCTGCGGCTTCCTCGATACAATCACAGTGCAGTCTGCTATAGTATAGTCTTCTATAATGTAGTCTAGTCTTTTCTAGTCTAATCGCGCATAGTATAGTATTAGATGACATGGTATGTATAGGAGGCTATAGTATAGTGTAGTATACTATAGTACCTGTAACACCATACAACGCCAACTCGACCTTACCGAAATATACCGAAATAGCGAGGCTGCAGGGGCC